GAGGCTGCAGTTTGAGGGGATTAAATAAGTCCAAGGGCTTCTGCAGATGCATATGCAGGAAAATATTCATCATTTTTTGCAAAAATGTTTTGTGAATCAAACACCAACCCCAAAAAGGGGCGCACTAGTTTTCAAGGGCAACATTGCTATTTGAGGGATTTTTCGCCCGGGTCCAAAATTTTTTTTATTTTTAAAGGGGGTTTTTAAAAATACTTGCCTCAATTGTTCACAATAATGAGACTATGTGTCATGCGCAACAACCAGTCACCTATCTCGAAGGTCAACTTCACACTTAGGGGTCAAAGATTAATATAGTCTGCTATAGGGTATATTTTGTGTGCGGTCATATAACTTTTTCATAGTAAAAGGGATTTGAAATATTTGCAAAAAGTACTATTAAAAGAAAATTTTCATGCGAATTACTTGGCCCCTACTAAAAAGGTAAAGGTCACAGGGGTAAAAAATTAACTTCTGTTTTTTGGGCCCCTATATTTTTTGTCTGACTAGAATTAAGGGTTTTTGAAATAATTGGGCACAAATTTTTACAATAATTGATGTTTTTGCCAAGAATAATCTATACCCACCTCCAAGGGAAGGCACACTTTCAGGTCAAAGGTTCACAGAGGGCCGTTATATGGTATATTTTTTTCCCGTCCATAAATTCTTCTAGATAAGGAAATTTTAAAAAATACTTGGCACAAAAAACACAATGTAAGATGATATGCAGTGTTACACCCGTGTCCCCACCCCCAAGGTAAACTTAAAAAGGGCAAAGTTTTAAAAGTCTTTTTAAAGGGGATATTTTGGGTTTCCAGCTTTTAATTTTTCATAGATAAGGGTTTTTAAAAATATTTTTGCACAAATAATCAAAAAAATAAGACGATGTTGGGGCCGAAAACCCGGGGTTTCCACCTCCAAGGCCCAAATTAAAAGGACAAGTTTTAACATGGTCATTTAAATAGGGTAATTTTTTGTGTCTAATCTAAAACTTTTTTTTTATATTTCCCGGGGGTTTTTGAAAATTTTGGGCACAAAAAAGTTTCAACAAAAAAAACAAAAATTAAATGTAAAGGGGGTAAACACCTGCACCCCTCCCTAAAAGGGGCAACATTTAGGGGGGTCAAATTTCAAACATAAATAGATGTTTAAATTTCCCCTGCTTTTTTCCCTATTTTTTTAAAAATTTAAATTGTTGCTTTGCAGATCTAGAATTGATTATAATTTTGGACAAAAGTCCTGAAATCCATCCTAATTTTTTTAAAAATTCCCTAATTTTTATGCTTCATATAAAACTGTCCGGAAGGAAAGGGGACGTTGGAAACTCGTTACAAAATTTGTATACAGTGAGGTGGATGTAAGGTCTTGTATAAATTGATTGGGGTTTGTAAGGTTTTTATACAGGGATTGGGGGGATTTTGGGTGTTGAAATACAGTAAATTGGGGAAATTAATGTTGTTAACAGTATTGGGGATGTAAGGTTTTGTATAAAGTGTTTGTGGTTTGTAAGGTTTCAAATACAGTGTTTTTAAAATGTAAGGTGTTGTTTTCAGAAATTGGGGGATGAAATTTTGGTTTTATAAGTGTTTTGGATGTAAGGTTTTTGTTAAAGTGATTGTGGATGTAAGATGTTGTATACAGGGGATTGTAAAAAAGAAGGGGTTGAAAATACAGTCATTGGATGTAAGATGTTGTATAAGGGTCATTGTGGAATGTAAGGGGGTTTATAAAGTCTTTTGTGGATGTAAGATTTTATAAAAGTAAATTGTGGATGTAAGGTTTTTTATTAAATTTTCATTGTGGATGAAGATTTTGTAAAACAGTTTTTGGGGGAATGAAAGGTGTTTAAAAAGTAAATTGGGGAAAGGGTAAAAAATTTTAAAAAGCCCCATTGGGGGGTGTAAGGTGTTGAAAAATCATTGGGATTAAGATTTGTATAAAAGCTTTTGGGGGTGAAAAGGTGTTGATAAAAGTCATTGTGGTTTGAAAGATGTTGAAATACATCTTGGGGGTTGTAAGGTTTTGTATAAAGTCTTTGTGGATGAAAAGATATTGTAACAGTCATTGTGGGGGGTAAGGTGTTGTAAAAAAGTCATTGGGGGTGTAAGGTTTTTTGTTAAAAGTCATGGGGTTTGTAAGGTGTTTTTATACAGTCTTTGTGGTTTGTAAGGTTTGTATACAGTCATTGGGGAAATGAAAAGGTTTGTTAAGTCTTTGGGTGGATGAAATGTGTTGTATAAAGTAAATTGGGGGTTTAAGTTTGTTGTATAGCAGCCCATTTGGGTGTAAGGTGTTGAAATAAAGTAAATTGTGGTTTGGAAGATGTTGAAAACCCAGTAAATTTGGGGGTGAAAAGGGGTTGTTTAAGTCATTGTGGATGTAAGGGGGTTGAAATTACAGTCATTGGGGGTGAAAGGGGTGTTGATAAAGTCTTTTTGGATGTAAGATTTTTATACAGTTTTGTGGGTGAAGGTGTTGTAAAAGTAAATTGGGGATGAAAAGATATTGTTACAGCCCATTTGGGTGAAAGGGGTTTTGGTTTTAAAGGGTCTTGTGGATGTAAGATTTTTGTAAAACAGTCATTGTGGGTGAAAAGGTTTTGTAAAAAAAGTAATTGTGGATGTAAGATTTGTAAACAGTGTTGTGGATGAAATGGGGGTTTTGTAAAAAGGATTGTGGATTTAAGGTTTTTGATAAAAGTGTTTGGGGAAAAAAGTGTTGTTAAAGTCTTTTTGGATGTAAAATTTTGAAATACAGTCATTTTTAAAGTAAGATGTTTAAAAAGTCATTGTGGGGGTAAGGGTTTTTAAAAAGTCATTGTGGATTTTAAGATTTTGTATACAGTCCTTTGTGGAGGGTAAGGTGTTGTTAAAGTCTTTGTTGGATGTAAGATGTTGAAATACGTTTTGGGGGGTTTTGAAGGGGTTTTGTAAAAAGTTTTGGGGAAATGTAAGATGTTGTATACAGTCCATTGGGGTGAAAGGGTTTTTTTGTATAAAGTAAATTGTGGATGTAAGAATTTAACAGTCTTTGTGGGGAAAAAGGTTTTTGAATAAAGAAATTGTGGTTTAAAAGTTTTTTGTATACAGCCCATTGTGGGGGGAAGGTTTTGTATAAATATTGTGGTTTTAAGGGTGTTGAAAAAAGTCATTGGGGAGTAAGAATGTTTAAAACATCATTGTGGGTGAAAAGGTTTTTTGTATAAATCTTTGTGGATGAAAGGTTTTTGTTTACAGCTTTTTGATGTAAGGTGTTGTATAAAAGTCTTTTGTGGATGTAAGGTTTGTATAAGCCCTTTGGGTGGATGTAATGTTTTGTAAAAAGTCATTTTTGGATGAAAAGATGTTGAAAACAGCCCTTGTGGGGGGAAAGGGGTTTTTGTATAAAGGGTCATTGTGGTTGTAAATGTTGTATCCCAGCCCATTGGGGGTGTAAGGTGTTGTAAAACAGTCCTTTGTGGATGTAAGGTGTTTGTATACAGTCATTGGGGGTGAAATTTTGTTTATAAAGAAATTGTGGATGTAAGATTTTGTATCCCAGTCATTGGGGGTGAAGGTGTTTTTTTTTTTTTTTAAAAAGTCATTGGGGATTAAGAATTGTATACAGCATTGGGGGTGAAAGGTGTTGTATAAAGTCATTTTTGGATGTAAATTTGGGTATACAGATTTGGGTGAAGGTTTTTTGAAAGTCTTTGTGGATGTAAGATGTTTAAACTGATTGGGGGAAATGTAAGGTGTTTTTAAAACAGTGATTGGGGAGAAGGGTTTTTGAAAAAATTTGATTGTGGATATGGGGGTTTTGTAACAGTCATTGGGGATTTAAGGTGTTTTATACAGTGATTGGGGGTTGAAAAGGTGTTGTTTTACGTGATTGTGGTTTTTTAAAGGTGGAAATACAGGATTGGGGAATATAAGGTTTTGTTTTAAAGTCATTGTGGGTGAAAAGATTTTGTATACATTTCATTGTGTTTAAATGTTGTATACAAGATTGGGGGTTTGTAAGGTGTTTTTAATAAGTGTTTGTGGATAAGGTGTTGTAAAAAAGTCATTGTGGATGTAAATTTTTGTATACGGTCATTGTGGGGGGTAAAAGTTTTTAAATGATTTTTTATGTAATGTTTTTGTCCCACAAAGGGTTTTATGTTTTAAGGTTTTGGGTTACAATTATTATAGATCCAAAAAAAATGATAATTCTTAAAATCATGTTTGTACATTTTGTTTTTTTTTATTTCCGGGAATTGGGGGATATGTAAAAAAAAATTTTGGGGGAAACCCCGGACCCATTTTATAAAAAAAATTCCTCAATGAAAAGATTTAAACTAAAATTGGCAGAAAAGGGGGTTTATCCCCTGCCCCTTTGGGAGTCTATAGGTAAATTGCACTTTTTTAAACCCTTGTGTAAATATATTTTGGCACTTTGTGAATATCTTTGGCACAGGCTAGTTTAACTTAAATCATTAATGCTAATTCCAGCAAACACAAGTTTTCCTGTATGAATTTGTGTATTTGAAAAGGTTACCAGGCTTCATTTGCCAATCACAGCAATTCTATATTTAATGATCATGCATTATTGTAAATGAATTGTGGCAAGCACTAATAGTGCTGTGCTTAACTTTATATATACAGTAATCGCACACTTATATAATGACAATTAGGTGAGTTTTATAGAAAGTCCTTAGCACTAGGACATATAAGACCAATTTAAAGACAGATTTAAGGCCATTTGAATATCATTTAATCTTTAGTCAAAGACAAGACTCATTATTTTATTATTCTTTTCCTGAGCAAAGTAAAGAAATTTATTTTAAGTTTCTTTTTAATATTTGTTATTCAATGGAAATGCATCTGATAAATATAGTTATTGATGTTTAATGACAAAAAACAAGTTCAACTGGCAGCCATTTCAAAGAAAGAATGTCACATACCTGACTTCTAGTCAGAGTTTGGACTGTTCATGATTGGAAAATAAAAGAATTGTTTTTGATTTTCGTTTTTTTTTTTCAGGTTGTCAAGATTTATTGGAGTATAAATGTTCACATTGTGGGTGGCTAAGGAAAAGGAGAACGCTGTCATTATTTTCATGTAAGATATTTATTTTCATTGTTACTATTTTCAGAATCTATTTATAGAACCATAACCAGGATATACAACACTTGATGTATGACTAAAAACCAAAATATGGCAGGGTAAAGCTGTATGCCTCCAGATAAGCCAAAATAATTTAATAAAATCAAACTGGAGAAAAATGTTCTTAAATAAAGTAATTATTTACAATTTATTTGTGATCAATTTTTCAGTATTTATAACAATATTTCTACTGTGTTACTAATGAAGTAAGGGATATTTTTGCATATTTTGACCTTTTTGGTAATTTGTCTGGGTTGTAAGTGCAATTTGAAATGTATTAAAATCTTCCTATAAGTAACTTCACAAAATTATGCTTATAAATACATTATCAAAATTTTCATGAAAATTAGCATGAATCTGGAGGCGTGCTGCTTTAAAAACCTGAAGAGCTAGTTTTCATATAGTATAATAGATGTATTTTTAAATGTATCAGTACAGAAATGTGATATGTAATTGACTATATGTTTTAATTGTTGTGTTAAGAGATACAGGGTAATAAATACTTAACATGTTTAACCAGATCATTATCTGCTTTTATTTGTCAATCTTTTACTATAAATAACTTCTATTCTCTCACTTTTTAAAATTGGTTAAGGTGTCAGCCTCTCAACACAGGGATCATAGGTTTGAGACATATTTGAGTCACCTTAGTGCAGTTACTGGTTAACTGCAATAATGTAAGGAGTTAACCAAACCTGTTTTTGGTCTATGGGGAAAATTATAGTTCACTAAGGGGACAATATGACACCATTACTAGCTATATAGTTAGTTCAAGGAAACCAATTAAAAGTGATTAATACAAATTGCAATTAGTCACTCATTTAGTTATCAAGATGAAATAAATATTTTTATTTGTTTAATTGGTTTGAGCTGAAACAATTATTCCCCCACAAACAAAGTTTAGGCAGGGTATATAAGAGCCAGCTTGTTGGTCGGTCAGTCCATCGGTCGGCTCACTTCGTTGTTTCCGGACAATAAATAGTTATGTTTATTTGTTAGATTTGGTTTTTATGATGCACCAACAACAATCAGTAGTAGGTCAAATAAATATATAATATTTAAACTTAAAACTAACCAAACTGTTCAAACTGAATGCTACCTGCAGCAAGGTCAAGGCTTTTGTCACAACTGAAAAGAGCAGAGGCATGTACAAGTGTGTGGGATTTGTGAGACTGATCATTAAAGCTTAAAAGTACATTTCTCATTGGTGATATTTAATATTTGTTATTGTCCCATTATCCATAATGTCTGTAAACAACATCCCCCTCTCAAACCATTTAGTTCATTTTGAATGACATTTTGAATTTTAATCAAACTTCAAAGGATGATACTTAAGTCAGGTCCTCTAAGAAGTAATGTTAACACTTGTGACGTTGTCTAACTGAAACCGAAAATGGTTTGCCTTTGCTGCAAGTAAAGAGCCAGGTCAGCTTGTACTTCTATGTAGTCTGACAAGGCTGTTGTAGCTCAAGTTTTTATGTTGAACTACCTCAAGCTTTAAATGGATTGTTCCAAATTCAGAAAATCCATAACACAAATTTCAACTGCTGGTGAGTAAGCACTCAAGATTGAATTCAAAGTAGTGTTTTCTAATATAATCAAGATTTGTCCAGTTTTGAGTCTCGCATATATCTTCAAAAGTGTTTAAAAAAGCAAATAGTCCTTAAAAGTTCGTGAATTTAATTTAACTCTCTTAAAAAGTGCTTAAATTTGTCTGACAATGTGCTTGAAAACGCTGACTAAAGCCTAGGTCACAAATAAGAAAATGCCGCCGGGCGGCGTCTGTTTCTCCAAAAAATCGCAATATCGGCCGTCGTCCGTCCGGCGGCAGTGACTATCGGACGGCAGCAGCTGAAAATTTTGCTCATCGGGCGGGCGCCTTCGAGTTTTAAGTAATACTTAAAAGCTAACGGCGGCCGGACGATAATTTTTGGGGTCACTGAGTATAAATATCATCGAGCGGACATCGCTCGGTCACCGGGCGGCGACCGGGCGATGATATTTTGATAGGGCGATTTCTTTTTCTACTAAAACACCGTCCGATTTAAAAGGCGTCCGGGCGGACATCGGCCGGGCCCCGCCCGGTGCCTGAATAGAGACAAGTAGTCAAACGATTATCGCCCGGTACCCGGACGATTCATGTACAGGCACCAGGCGGTCATCGTTTTGTCATCCGGCGACCGGGCTGCTTATGTTTGTTGTAATTTCAGCTTGAAGAAGTTGTAATAGCCTCAAAATTATATTTGTGAATTTATTTTGAATACTAGTAAACATGAATTTTTTCTTCAATGTCCATGCGAATGTCTGATTTATTTTCGCCTTCTACGGCCTCGATAATTGGCCGTTGGTGACTCAGTGTCAACAACACGGACCATCTCCTTGGCCTTCCCCTTGGCTTTGGCAGCTGACTTCTTTGCTGGCATAAATACAAGTGGCTGATTTATAAGGGATGTCATTATATGTAAAGTCATTGTCGCCCGGCGCCCGCGCGGCAACCGTCCGATTCACTTTTAAATCGCACAGGCGCCGTACGGACATCGGGCGGCGACCGCCCGATCCGTTCAATTCTTTCTGTAAAATCCATTCGGCGAAAATCGCCCGACGACTGCTTCATTCATGACCACGCAAGGTATCAGATTTGAAATCGCCCGGCGTCCACGACATCAAAAAATCTGCCGATTTTATAAAAATCGTTTAATCGGACGGCGCCCGTTTTATTTGTGACCTAGGCATAAGTGGTTGGTAAAAAGGTATTAGTTTCAACATATGCACCCTATTAAGTACCAAAATCAATACAAATGTTTGCTTTTTTAAGGTAACACTTTTTACGGGCTTTTTCCATATTGTAAAATATAACATGATACAATGTTTTCTGTTATTCAAAGTAATAAACAAGTCAAAGTAAAGTCGATCTTCAATATTCTATCATGACTAGGTACATGTGCACTTAATCCTTGGTAAAAAGTGATATATAATTACTGTATGTGACATTTGGTAACAAGCGGTTTTCATATGTGACAAAATGGGAAAACATGCTATATAAAGTGCTTGAATGTCGTCATTGAATGTTTATATGAACATTGTAAACTAAATTGACTATCAATTCAAGGTAATTATATAAGGAGTAGAATTAAGTAATATTTATAGCTTACTGATTAAACAGCAAGGAGTTGAGAGTAGAATCTACTTTAGTATAGTACTTTACATTATGAAGTAGGGATTGTCTGTTGTTTACACTTTGATCGTCGCTAAACTTAACTAACATGACCTCTTTCTTCCTGAGTAATAATGATTTACTAATGATTGAGGATAACTTATAACTTAACTGTCTGTGTAAGAAATTAAAAATGCTGTTTCTTAGAAGATAACTTTCTTCTGATAATAATGGCCTTGTTTGTTAAAAGAATAGCACAAATAACTGTTTCATTGTGAATTCTGACGTAAACAGTCCTTTAACTCATTACGTGATATACACGCCTTTTAACACCTTTTTCACCTCACCTTTTTTGTTGTCTCCAATGGTGAAAAAATGCCTTATTTAGCGCCCCAACACTTGTTTTTGTTTAATAATGTTGTTTAAAAAAAATGACCACTTTTTCAGCGCCACCCTCTATCCAAGAGGTACATCAGGGGGTTGCCACAAGGGGGATGTGCCCCCTTCTGTTTGGGGGTTTGATGGGGGTCAGCAGACCCCCTCATTTCAAAACTTTTGGACTTGTTAGAGGCTAAAAATGGCCCCAGGTTGACCTTAAGGTAACATATAACCAACCCTGAAAAGTCTTTGACTCTATCTCAATCCATTGAGAAGTTTCAGCACTTTGAAATCAGTTTTGATGGAAAAATCAACACAAAATAGTGATTTCTGGCAATTTTGAGATGCCCCCTTTTTGCCATGGTAACAGGAAATTTAAAGGGACTCCACTGAGGTTTAAAAGCCTAAAAACATAACATTAGAATTTCTTACATAAATGAACTGGGGCGCTTTAAACAGAAATATATGCAACGCTTTTCATTTTGGGTCATTTTTTTACAATTTGAATAATTATTATGGAAAAACGAAGTGCGCGAATGATCTGAAAGTTTGCACAAAGATTCGTGGTCTACACCTACATCAAATGGTACATTTATCTGGAAAAAAATATTTTCAGTCCCATCATGTCAAAAAACCTCAGTGGAGTCCCTTTAAGATTGAGAATGCAGTTACAAAGGCTATGGTCCAGTCAACATTTGTGCCAGGTTTGAGCAGTATTGTAGTTTTATAGCAATTTTTTAGCAATTTGCTCATGCAGCAATGGGTTAAATATTAAAGTTAAGCATTGCACAGTAGAGAAATATGATAAATGAAATAGAAAGTGCTTTTGCCTGTTTTGGAGTTGAAAAAAAAATAGACACAGCTCAGCTTATCAAATTTTCCTCATGTGTGTGGTTCCCATATATTTGATTGGTTCCCATATATGAACATGTATTAACATTTGAGAAATATGATAAATAAAATAGAAACTGCTTTTGGAAAAACATAAAAAATAGACACAGCTCAGATTAACAAATTTTCCTCATTCCATGGATCATTAGATAGAAAATAGTTTGATGGGTTCCCTGGATATATGAACATGTATTAACATTTGAGAACCGGACATTGCATCTGTAAATTACTCATTTTCTAGCTATGTATACTTTCTACTGTTTTTATATAATCAGATATACAGTTCATGATAAAACATCTGGTATGCAGGATGTGAAATTGTGAACTTTAATCTAGAAGCTCAGATATTAATTACGTTGACAATAACTTTCTTCACTTTCACGATTTTTTTGTACAGTTTCATATATTATTTCATTCATAAGAGTATTCGTAATAGATTACAATTGCATAAAACTTGTGTCTCCTTGATATTGATTTCCTCGTTTTAAGTTTCCTTATAGTCTCGAGATGAAACTAAAAATATATTAAGTGCTTCAGCAGTACTATTCGTTGGTTGTACATCCTAATATTGTTAGTGTGAGAAAATCTTATCAACATTTAGATTGTTTAAATTTAATTGGGTTGATGATGCATAAAATTTGCATATTGACAGATTTACTACCTTATACGCAGTATTGATATTGAAAGGGTTTCATATTTTCGAAGAATTTTTAAAGTTCGATATACTGTACTTAAAGTTACAAGCTTTAAGTGTATGATATTACTTTTGATTTAAACACTTAAGAATCCTAACAATAAAGTATGTGATGTAACGTCTGATTAACATTTCAGGGCCGGCAAAATCTGATCTTGACTTACTTGTCTGTTTCTATCTAAAGCATTTCTTTACTTGTCGGTATGATATTTAAATAGTTAACTTTTGAAAATTTCTACAACCCTGGCAATACAGACAATTGATTTGCAGGCCTTGACTGCCTAAAGTATACAACCCTAATGATAAAGTTAAGTAAATGCTACGCTTCTCAGGTTAACGCTTAAAAGAACCCTAATGACAAAGTAATGTGATGTAACTTCTGATTAACACTTACGAATATCCTAATGACAAAATTAATATGTTAGTTAATTCTTTTTAATGCTTACGAACCCTAACAACAAAGTATATGATGCTACTTCTGATTAACACTTTTGAACCCAGTAATGGCATGGCATTTGTCATCTAACTTTGGGCAATATAGAAAGCAAGAGGCCACTCTTGCACTTGATGACAGTTTTCCTGAAATCTAATTTTTCTCTACATTTTTGTCACATGACACAGTTTTTCCACTATTATGTCATAATTTTAGAAAGTACCTGTATGCTAACTTGAATACATTGCACCTCATTATAGGGTCAGTTAAGTCCTTAAGTCATAAATTATTGTTTTGCAGACTGTTGAACAATGTAAAAGCTTTACTTTAATCATCATCAGTGTGTTAGTCACAAATATGAATTAAGATTTAAAACATATCATATTTCTTAGAGTTGAGGCGTGAGAAAAGAATTAGTGAATTAGCGATGTCAATTTTGAATCATCTTAAATTCATCATGTTTATACAGCCTATTTTTGCTTGTAATTGATTAAATTATGATTAAAGTAATCAGAAAAATGCATAATTACAGATTATTTCAAATAAATAGAAAATATGAATTGATTAATGATAGATTAAATTACTTTTCATGATTTACCCATGTCTGTCTTTATAGGCCTCTATTTTCATTTCTCAAAAACTTCTTATATGCTGTTATTATTTTCGAAAAACTATTATACTTATTGACCAATATAACAAGCTTCTTCTGCTGTTTGGTAATTAGAACAGTTACAGGCATAAAGTATTTTGTATGGAAGTCAAAATACTGTTTTGTTTATATTTTGCTACCTTTAAGACAAATTTATAATTTCACATCATGTACTTTTGATGATAAGTATCTATCTGATATGCTTTAAATACAAAATTAAAACAAATTACTAAACTTGTGACTTTGCCCCCTTCTAAAGAAGATAAAAAATATTCAAAATGTGTCTTTAAAGTTGTTAATTGTTAAATGTTTAGTGTCATCCATCTAGAGTTTCAAGCACTGATTAGTGTTGAAATATCTAACACATGACATTGTATTTACTTACAATCTTCATAAAGGCTTCAAATGTACTCATACAATGTGTACCAACATCTGTTATTTTTAGATACATTGAAGGACATATTTAGAAACATATTTACAGCAAATATAAGGTTACAGGTACATGTATATGTTTGTAGATACAGCTTGCCATAGTTAAATGGTATGTAAGTAACAGTTTTTAGTATGATTTATATGACAAGTGTAATTAGTTGTTTTCAGGTCCTCACCAGCACTAAATAAAACTTGTAGGCTATGACAAGTTTAATTATTTGATTTCAGGGCCTGACGCCAGCATTAGAATTTATATGACATGTTTAATTTACTTGATTTCAGGGCCTCACCAGCACTAAAATTTATATGACAAGTTTAATTACTTGATTTCAGGGCCTCATCAGCAGTAAAAATAATATAATTTTAATTACTTTAACTTACAAGCACTAAAACTTAAATGTCATAATGACATGTTCAATTACTTAATTTCAGGGCCTTGCCAGCACTAAAATTTATAAGACTAGTTAAATTACTTAGGACCTATCCAGCACTAAAATTTATAAGACTAGTTTAATTACTTAGGGCCTATCCAGCACTTATATTTATACTACAAATTTAATTAACTTAGAGCCTTACCAGCACTAAAATTTATATGACAAGTTTAATTTCTTGATTTCAGGGCCTCACTAGCACTAAAATTATATGACAAGTTTAATTACTTGATTTCAGGGCCTCAAGCATATGTTGTACTGTATGATGGATGTCTTTATTATTTTAAGAATGAGAAGGCACGGGAATCAGCTGGCAAATTCTCCTTGTATGGCTATAATGCGTAAGTTTATTTATATATAGATTGTAATAACTTCATTAAATTAAGCAGCAATTTTTTTGGGCAAGTTTACATATGTAATAATAATTTGTCAACTTTTAACAGTGTTTTACTATTTATGAAATGAAACTAAGTATTCTCTGACCTTAAACTCTAGGTATATTTGAAAATTATGATCCTATTTTTGTCCCCGCCTTTTTGAAGAAAAAAGGGGGATATAGAAATAGGCTCCGTCCGTCCGTCTGTCCGTCCGTCCGTCACACTTTCGTGTCCAGTCCATAACTTTGTCATTTATGAAAGGAATTTGAAATAACATGGCACAAATGTTTATTATAATAAGACGATGTGTCATGCGCAAAAACCAGTCACCTACCTTCAAGGTCAAGGTCACACTTGGAGGTCAAATATTAACATAGTCTGTTACAGGGTATATTTCGTGTCTGGTCCATAACTTTGTCATTTATGAAAGGAATTTGAAATAACTTGGCACAAATGTTTGTTATAATAAGACGATGTGACATGCGCAACAACCAGACCCGTACCTTCAGGGTCAAGGTCGTACTTGCTCATTCAAGGTTAACATTGTCTATTTGAGGGTATATGTCGTGTCCGGTCCATTACTTTCTTATCTATGAAGGGATTTTGTAAATACTTGCCATAATTGTTCACAATAATCAGATGATGTGTCATGCGCAAAAACCGGTCACCTACCTCCAAGGTCAAGGTCACAACTGGGAGGTCAAATACTTACATAGTCTGTTACAGGGTATATTTTTTGTCCGGTCCTAAAACTTTTTCATAGATCAAAGGATTTTGAAAATACTTTGCACAATAGTCACTTTAATAAGAGGATGTGTCATGCGCAACACCTGCATCCCTACCTCCAAGGTCAAGGTCACACTTAGAGGTCAAAAAATTAACATAGTCTGTTATAGGGTATATTTTGTGTCGAATCTAGAACTTCTTCATAGTTCAAGGGATTTTGAAATAACTTTGCACAAATAGTCACAATAATAAGCCAATATGTCAGGTACAACACCTGCACCCCTACCTCTTAAGGTCAAGGTCAACACTTAGAGGTCAAAGGTTAACAGAGTCTGTTTATTTGGTATATTTTTTGTCCCATCCATTACTTCTTCATAGATTAAGGGATTTTGAAAATACTTGGCACAATTAGTCACAATGATTAGATGATATGTCATGCATAACATCTGTGTCCCTACCTCCAAGGTCAAGGTCACACTTAGAGGTCAAAGATTTACATAGTCTGTTATAGGGTATATTTTGTGTCCAATCTATAACTTCTTCATAGTTCAAGGGATTTTGAAAATACTTGGCACAAATAGTCTCAATAATAAGACGTTATGTCATGCACAACAACCTGCTCCCCTATCTCCAAGGTCAAGGTCACACTTAGAGGTCAAAGCTTAACATGATAGATTTTTAAATTCCGTGTTTCATTTTATTTTTTTAACAAATTTATTGTTACATTTGCAGATCTAGCATTGATCATAATTTTGGACTGAATGTCCTGAGATCCATACCTCAATCTTTTGAAATAGCACAATTTTATGCTTCATATAAAACTCCCGGGCCGGGGGACGTTGGTAACTCTGTTACAAATTCTTGTTTAGATTGTCATTGTCCCCTAGGGTATATGGACTTATATATTAGGACATATCTTAATAACTCTTCTCTGAAGTCAGTAAGCCTTACTGTCAGCTCATATACATGTATTTAGCATGTGGCATTATCTTAAAGGAATTCCACTGAGGTCCAAAGACCTAAAAACATGAAAATCCAATTTCTTACATATATCAGCTACTGCACTTAAAACAGAGCGATATGCAAAAGATAATTAAAAATATACTCAGAAATAATTGCAAATTGTATTTTGTACTATACAATTAGCTCGATTTGGGTGAAAAGCGTTGCAACACTTTTTAATTTTGGGTATTTTTATACAATTAGAATTTACTTATTCTGATAAAACAGAGTGAGTGAATGATCTGAAATTTTGCATATAAGTTATTTGTCAAGACCTACATCAAATTGAATATTAATCTTGAAAATTTATTTCAAGTCTCATCATGTAAAAAAAAAACCTTGGTTGAGTCCATTTAAGAATAGAATTTATTTCAAGATGAACATTTTATTTCAGTGTTTACAGAGCCAGTGAAATCCCTCAGAAGGATGCCACATGGTGCCTTAAAATTGTTCACTCACATAAAGAATTTAAAACCTACTATTTCTCTGCCTCATCTGAACAAGAGATGAAAGTTTGGATGAGCAAGATCAAGCTTGAAATGTTGCATGCTAACGGAAAAAGTGCCTTGTATGGGTAAGTTGTTTAAAGATATAGTCACACAAGCAAAATACCCATACACTTTCTTAATGTTACCTTTACTGTATATTAAACACTAAGCCTACTGGTGGTAGCTTATTTTATAATCCATGCAACCCAGTGCAGATAAAGAATCGCCGGCACACCCATGCCATCTGATCATGGTCTACACTGTTTTGCTATTCACTCAGTCAGTGCATATTTGTCAAAATTGTCCCTAAAAATGATGAATGATTTAGTCCAAATTGAAAGATGGACAAGTTCATTTATGGTATTTAGTGTGGTAATGATTGAGTAACTCTTCATGATCTAGATTAATACTTAAATGTCAGCAATAAGTTCTGGTCCATACATAAACTGCCATTTATCTTGTAGAATATGTTACCCAGTTGTTTAAACAATTTTCAATTGTCAGTGCATGATGCCGAATAGCATTCGTTAGCAATAGTTACAAGAGTTAATGGAATTTAAAGTGACACCACATTATGTTTTAATATTAAAAGAAATATGCTTTAAAGCAGCATGCCTACAGATTCATGCTAATTTGTATGATTTTTTTTTAATATATTAGTAAAATATTGTCAAGTGAACAAAGGAAGTAATTAACACATAACTTAAAATCTATGAAAATTACCAATAATAGGTCAAAATATGCAACAACAGTTCGTACTGCATTAGTCACGCAGTAGAAATATGGTGCTAAATACTGCAAAAACAGATATTAATTGCATATAACATGTAAATTATTTTTTGAATTGTCAATATTTTAAAATTTTCTTAAAATCGTATATTTTCTCACATTTTTCACAAGGTTGATTTTCACGAAATATTTATTTCCTCATCTGGAGGCATTCAGCTTTAAGCAAGAACTTGAATCTTGTATGAATATACCATTTGTAACATTGAGAATGAGTTGTTCTGTTTATAGTGAGAATTACTTCCCTTTCTCATAGTTAGAGTTACTTCCCTTTCTCACAGTAAGAATTACTTCCCTTTCTTAAGAATTACTTCCCTTTCTTTTTGAATTTCACAGGAGAAATTTACAGCATGTGAAAGAGGAGAAACCTGATAAAACACTAGACGATCCGTCATTTTATCAAAATATTGAGGAGAACATTTATGATGATTCTACAAAGTTCATCCCTGAACAAGATTATCAAAAGAAATGCAGTATTAAAAGAATTAATGAAGGTAAGACTTGCTTGAAATTCATTGTAAATTTTACAGTAGGATTTTACATAGATGTATTAGGTTGACTTTGCGTGACAGTTTAATTCTTGGGTCGAAAGAGTCTGAATTTTTTTTTATTCAACTTACAAATACAATACATACTTTTCAATATACAAGCTAGTGAATTATCACTATTAAAATGTTTTTTTCATTATAAATTGAAATAATTGTAATTGTTCAAAATATTTTGTCCTAATAAATTAATATCATGAAAGTTAAGTATGAAAAGAAGTATAAATTCATCTACCACACATTTTCTATCTCCCCCCAAAAAAGCCTATAAAACAGCCAAAATAATAGCTAAGATAACACAAGACAACTGCAGACCTGCGTTTCATAGCTATTACATGGGTAAACTAAACATTGAACAAAAGTAAATCACTGGCAGAGTGTCACTTATAAGACGTTAAACATTTACCTAATACTGAATTAAACCAGTAACCAAGTGGTTAACACATTAGACAAGTGATCTAAGGATTGCTGGCTGCGTCGGTTCAACCCCATCAGGGGCAAGACGTTGTTTCGATGATCTTATTGCTTAGTACTTGTTGGTTTTAGCAACTGATTTGATTGTGTTTCGATAAGCTTATAAGCTTTCAACACAATCAAACTAAAATAAATTAGTTAAAACTATTAACTAAAACAAGTAAAATGATGCTTGATTTAAACTATGTACTTAATTTCAGCATGTGCAGGAGCAGCAAAATCAATTGTCTGTATTGCCTAAATTGTCCTAATGAAAGCCTGTACGGACAAGTGATTTTTGTCTACTTAATATATCTAATCTGATTTATAAATATCATACAGACAAGTAAAAAAATGATAAGATAAAACAAACAAGTAAGTCAAAATCAGATTTTTGCAGCCCTTTATAAAAATACGTTGTAACAAGTTGATTGTGGGTTCAATTCCTAGGCTGGCCAACTAAAACAGTCTTTTGGATGAGACTTTGAATTATGAATGAGTACTCTTGGCACGTTTAAGCTGTGCTACTTCACAATAATGTTTTTATTACTTTTATCATAAAGATCTTCATTGTTTTAGACTCGGATGATGAAGAAATAGAGACAAGTTCAGCGATAAATGATCGACCTCCTCAACCACTTCCGAAGGGAAAAGACCCTTATATGATCTCTAGTGACCTTGAACTGCCGATAATAGAACAACCACCTATCCCTCCTTTATCTAAGGTAAGATGGTAAATCTGTCCATTCTTTTACTTGAAATAACAGTAAGGTTTTCTTTAAAGGCACATTATGCCTCAGAAACAAATAAATTTTGTTTCTTTAGAAAGGTCCAACATGAATTTTATAATGTTTTAGAGAAATGTATGTTGCATGTATACTTGAAAAAATATAGCAATAAATGTGAAATAATTTGTCATAAAAGAAGCAAAATGTAAACAAAACTTTACAAAGTACTACTTGTAGTATTTTGACTTCCATACAGTATACTCGTCCACTAAAATTGTACTTATTGCAAAAAAGTTTTCGGTAATTGACCAATGAGTAACTTTTTGGATATTATAAAAGAACACCAAAATCAAAAAGCTTTCGAGAAATAAAAGAAAAAGAAAGAAATAAATAAAGGCATATTGGGCCTTTTGCCACTAGCACAATAACATTTACTGGTAAACTTTTTAGGAATGTCCTTGGGAGATGTCAGGTTTTGCCATGGCAACAGAAAAATTAAAAAAAAAAAACATTTTGTAAAAAACTGTCAATCACACTTTGTTAAATTTCGCAGAAATGATCCATTGTTGAATCACACTTTGTTATTATTTCGCAGAAATGATCCATTGTTGATCATCTACTACATGTTCTGAAATTGTTTATTGAAATTTGATCTAAAATATGGTTGCTAAGGAGTGTGGTCTATTTTACAAGAAAATCTAGAAACAATTTTTAAGAGGTTGGTACATTGTGTAAATGTATCCCTTATCGATACTTTTGTCAATTATCTTTTATAACTCTGTTGAGCAATACAAAGTGCTATCATGGTCCCTTTTATGCAAGTTTAATTTTGATTTGAATTAATTTTTCAGCCTCCGACAAAACCATCTAGAGTTATAGGTGCTGATTCTAAACCCCCTAACACACCTCCTAGAGGTCATAAAGTTCTACCATCTCCTGTTGAACCCGACAGCAAAAAGATCACTGACCCAACAACAGGTATGAATTCCAAGTTCTTTATGATAAACAATACATGTTATAAGTATAATGTCTAGGAAATAGATGTACTCATTTTGAGTGCTTTTTTGTAGAATAGTGAAAGGTGTGCAGTTATAAAATCACAGAGGTCTGTAGGCTGGAGTAATTTATTACAAAGTATTTGAAGAATGAACCATGTATAGTTTCTATGGTTTCCATGAGGAGATTAGGCGTGATTGTTGAATCAAAACCTTTGTTAGATGATGTCATTTCACTCTCTTTTTTTTTTCAAAATTCAAAAACTTGACTTCCATCAGTACATGTACTTTTAAAGGAACTCCACTTGGGTGCAAAAACCTAAAACATATATCTGGAATACTTGCATAGATCCAACTTTGGAACACTTTAAAATAAAATGGAAAAATATGAAAAAAGATGATAAAGAAATATTCTGAAAATTAAATTGAAAATCTTGTCTTTTTTTTGTGCAATTCGTAGCCTGATTGGAGTTAAAATCATTTAAATGATTTGAGTCATTTTGTGCAATTTATATGATTTAGGTATGGAAAAAAGGGATTGAACAAATGATCTGATATTTTGGACACAGACCTTCATCAAATGGTACGCAATAAAATAAGTCAGATCCTGCCATGTCAAAAAAAAAAAACTCATAAGAGTCCATTACATTACTTTAATAAATCTTCATGATATTGTCTTTTGTAGATATAAGTGGTGCAAGCCAAATACCGAAGATCAAAACGGCATTAAGGGTGGATGAGTCAAGCCCAAAGAAAACCCCCCTTGTACCTCCACAAAAGGTAAGAGCATCTCTATCTGCAGAAATCATTATAACTCTATCTTTTAATCCTTAGGCAGATCCTAGCTGTGCGACCAGTTCAATGCCATCTGATCATGGTCTTAGCTATTCAGTCAGAACATATTTTCTGTGAGTGGGGTTAAGGTCGTTGACTTCAAACCACTTGCCTCTCACCCCTGTAGGTTAGATCCCCGTCAGCATCTTTGAATTCTTTCATGTGAAAAAGTTATCCAGCTAGCTTACAGAACATCAGTTACCATGTTTTGTCATTTTTCCCTAGCTTAAAGGGTGTAACCCATTCCTGTGGAAAAAAACCCTGTATTACATGACACTGACTGAATGATGGCCTATTCAACCTTATTTCACAGATCCAAACAAATCAATAAATTTATTCCATTTTTCATAATGCTCAACAGTGATTTTCCTGCTTTAAACAGACTCTGATAAAGGGCCTCTTCCCAATTGAAATTTTCTTTGAAATCATGCAGTTTTCCCAAAAATCTGTGCTTCTTTACTAATTTTACTAGCAATTTTAGCCATTTTTTTTCCCAAAGTCAAGAGGCTAATTAGGTCTCTTCCCAATTAAGTGAGATAGACTCACTTGACTCATACAGGGTTCCCACGCTGTCCGGGAAAACGGGAAATGTCCGTGAATTTGAACACACGAGCTCCCGGCCTTGAAAAGTCCGGGAATTAGTGTTGATACATAAAAAAGTCCGGGAAGGTACGGGAATTAGTCTGGAAAAGGGGAGGTAAATCAAAAAACCAAAATGGCGGTCTTTGCACAGTATATTCACAGGCAATCGGTGCGTGGCTTGGATAGTATACATGTACATGACCACGCCCACTTACTTTTTTATAAATTTTTTTTTTCACTAATAAAATATTTTTTTATTCAAAATATTTTTAAAATATCTTATTTTCAATAAATCAACAAAGAAAATTTGTTTTTAAAAAATTTCATCCATATATACTATTAATATAGTAAAGGTAGAAAGGTTCGCCAGCGGACCTACCACCAGGCCTTATGTTACCTCCAGATCTTTGTTAATTGTCAACCAATTTTCACCAAATAAAGTGCAATCTACGCAGAAATGATTTTTCTTTCGAAAAATGTACAATATTAGAACAGTTGGTACGACAAAAGATGGAATTTTAAAGCAAAAATGCACTTTTTGTCTAGGTCGGCCATCGCTTGACCGAGCCGAAAGTAGACGATTTTGAACATAAATCGATCTTTTTCTTAATAACAAACTAATGTCAGTGCATGCAAACAGTTGAAACAGAAAGGGCAGCTATAATACTATCGCTTACCGGTCCAAAGTTAATCCAAAACGTCTGCAGGTACGCACTTTCAGTAGTTATTTGCACTAACTTTTTAAATTTCCCGACATTGTACATGTATACAAATTCTGATTCGGATATTCAAGGTACGCATGCTCGGTTCCCGCTGGTACCCAGCTTCGCTCAATTTTTTATTATGCGAAAAGGGGTACGCAACAGATACATCCGGGTCAGCATTTGTATACATGTAATGTCAGGGAATTTAAAAAGTTAGTGCAAATAACTACCGAAAGTGCGTACCTACAGACGTTTTGGATTAACTTTGGACCGGTAAGCGATAGTATTATAGCTGCCCTTTCTGTTTCAACTGTTTGCATGCACTGACAATAGTTTGTTATTAAGAAAAAGATCGATTTATGTTCAAAATCGTCTACTTTCGGCTCGGTCAAGCGATGGCCGACCTAGACAAAAAGTGCATTTTTGCTTTAAAATTCCATCTTTTGTCGTACCAACTGTTCTAATATTGTACATTTTTCGAAAGAAAAATCATTTCTGCGTAGATTGCACTTTATTTGGTGAAAATTGGTTGACAATTAACAAAGATCTGGGAGGTAACATAAGGCCTGGTGGTAGGTCGCTGGCGAACATTTTCTACCTTTACTATATTAATAGTATATATGGATGAAATTTTTTAAAAACAAATTTTCTTTGTTGATTTATTGAAAATAAGATATTTTAAAAATATTTTGAATAAAAAAATATTTTATTAGTGAAAAAAAAAAATTTATAAAAAAGTAAGTGGGCGTGGTCATGTACATGTATACTATCCAAGCCACGCACCGATTGCCTGTGAGTATATTGACTTCCGCATCTTGAATGTTGATGATTTTCGATTTACAACTGTTTTGGGAGGCCAAGTTTGACATTTATGAGATTTATCATTTATTTTCTGTTTACTATGGCGGTTTTGTTTGGAAAATCTAGGAAGACAGTCACAAATCAACCTCAAGTTTGCTTGATTGGCCTGGTTGTTTCCTTTGGCAAATTTTTGTATCCTAATTGCTCACTACCATGCTAAAAGCCAAAGGTAAATCAATATAAAATAAAAAAAATAGTATTACATGCATGAACTATTGTCAAGGCAGAGCACAGCCAATTGGCCACAACATATCTGGGTAGCACAAAATACCCAAATATAACAAAAATATACTAAAAATAAATGTGTTTTACTGAAAAAGTGCTGTTTTAATCATGAATACAATATACACTTTCACTAAGATGTAATGAAACATACCCAAATATACATTTTTGAACCAAAATATACCCAAATACAGTATACTCCATTAAAGCTATTAAATTAAAAAAATAATACGAATGAACTTGTATGAAATTTCAACAAAATTATACCCTACAAATTTAAATGTAGACAACAAATATTATCATATCTTGCAAGTACATTTGCCTGTTCATTAATGAACCTAACAGATAGATAAGCAAATGTCACTCTTTTTTTTCTTACAACATCTGAACTGCCAATTTCAATGGAATGATCGAAAGTTATAGTTGGCTAAGTCATATTATTTTGTAAATATCAATTCATTTTCTCATTAAAATCAACATTGTATACAAACCAAAATGAACATTGCTATAATTTAGTGTGTTTGGGTATATTTGGGTATTTCATGCTGCTGCCATATTTTGTAGATGGTTTAAAAAATTGTAAGATCAAATCAAAAGATATGTCATTGAAATACAAAAAAGAATCCCTAAATAACATCCAAAATGGAAAAATTGAAAATGTTGTAGACTAGGGCTTGATATATGGTACTGGAAGTGCACCCCGTAGCACTGGCTTAAGCAGAATACAATATTTTAACATGAAAGTCGTGAAATTTTGAATGTAGAAACACCTGCAGGCAGTTTTCATATACCCTTCAGTGTGACATGCTTTTGCCATTCTATGAAGCCGTAGTGGACTGAGGTCAAATGTGAGGTTACTAATTAAAGTACTATGAATATCTGGTATAAAAAGTGATCCCTTGGAAGCATTAAAAACAGCAAAAATACATGAAAATTGCAGACAACCTGCAAAAACAGTTGCTGTCACAAAGTACATTTCATTATTTATAGACACTGAATGTATTTCTTAGAAAGAATTCGATTTATGTCATGAACTACATGTACTATATTGGTGTAATTAAATGTTGTTCTAAACATTACCATGAACATATTCATAGGACAAAAAATCAAATACATGTAGCTTGAAATTTAATCTTCTAAAAAGTCCTTAAAAATCAAAAAAGGTCCTTGATAAGTCCTGGAAAAGTCCTTAAATTTTCAAAATATCTAAGAGTGGGAACCCTGCTCATAATAAAGGTTTGTTTTCACAGGCTACATGTAGACATATACAATTTATATTTCAGTCTCCAAAGCCAGGAAGAAATCAAAAAAGAAGGTGAGACATAGTTCTAATATTGTAAATTTCTGTAACTCTGTATTCGAAATGTATATACAGTACAACCTGTGCAGTGCAACATCTTGTAGGCAGACAAATAGTTTGATTGTTGCTGAAAGATGTTGCTATATAGAGGTTAGATCATTATAGTGTCTTACTTTGGTACTTTGGGAATAATTGCCAGACTGTTGTTGTATATTAGTTATTGCTCTACTGAAGGCCAAACTGCACAGGTTACACTGTATAGTGTATACCAAGTGACCTTCCAGTTAGCTCAGTAGTGATAACATGAGATTTGTTATCCATGGCTGGCTGGTTCTCTGACCTCGGTTGATAAATTTTTACATGAATATCATTCTCAGACACAGAGTCTATTATGGTCATTAGTCTGTCACAGCTAATTCAGAAATTATGTGGGATAAGTTGTTGATCACTTGCGGAGAAATTATTTATTACTGGTTAGTTATCCAAGATAGCCAGTTAGGTTGGATTGACCAATGAGATATGTCCAGAAAATTTATTAAAATGGACTTTAAAACAGTGAAACAAACAAGTTTAATACTGGCATCAAGCATAGCATGCTGCTCCATAGATTGTGTGTATTTGTTTCTTTATAATCTAATATAAATCATTTCCCTATGTTTTTGAAAATGATTTGTAAACTTTGGGTAAATTCAAGATGTATATGTATTTCAATACACAAATTCTAAATTATGCAATATTTTTATGAGTCAGATACACTGTATATAGCTGCAAGTGAAAAATATGACACATAGTATTCAAAACAGCAAATGATGATTTGGTCTTATATGAAAAACAAAAATAATATTCCTTTTCTATATTGTATAGTTTTAATAATATTTTATCATATTTATCATTATTTTTCTTGCATAGTACAGTAATATTAAATGTGCAAATCTATGTGTATATGCCTGCATTTATCATGTACATTTTAAGACATGATTATTATTCTTGCTGAAATTTCTCTTCAATGTAATTTTAAATTCTGTACTTTTGCTTTGCACTCAAATGCACACAGTTTAATGATTGAAAATTCATATGAAATTTTGATAATTTCATTGTGAAACTTATGATCAGAATTTAATTTAATATGCTATTTTAGTTTAAACTGAAAAGTAGATAATTTAATTGTAAAAGAAAATCTTAAATTGTGGTTACATCTAAATGTTCTTTCCCCATCTTAACAAATTTGTAAGTTAAATATTCCAACTCTTCTTTTGAAAATGTCTGAAAATTTCCAGAAAAACTTCTGCTTGATTTTGGATGCTTGTAATAAATTTATTAAAACTTGCATTGTTTCGAAATGTATTTGCATGCTCTTTTCATAGGTCAATAAGTGATGAAATTGTACACAATGCATTGGGGTATGCAGAAGTTAAACTTACTCCTGGTCAAAATGGAACTGGGTGAGGAAAAGTGTGACAGTTGCTTGTAGCTTTTTTAGCTTACCTGACACAGAGTGCCAGAGTAAGCTTTTGTGATAGCCTTTTGTCCAGTTTCTGATTGTCAGTCCACTCTTAAGGGATTACTTAAATGACTATGTAGACAGAGGGTAATTAATCTGAAATCTTCTTTCATGTCCTTTATTCTGTTTCTCCTATGTGGCTTGAAAATTCTATAACTTGGTTAAAAGACCATGGGGAGCACAATAGGGTAGTGGTCGTGCTCCCTGCATGAACCTGTACAAAATATGTTCAAATGGTTACAGTACATTGCATATCAAGGTCACAGAAGCTAAAGATAGATTTTCATGATGAAAACTTTAAATATTGTCTCCTAGGAAATAGTTAGACTTAAAATTAGTCATTTGGTATGAGACATCATTTAGTAGACATTTCAAACAAAATTGTTCATATTGTCACCCTAAGGTCAAAATTGCTCTACTATTAAAGTTACATTTTCAAGGCTTATAAGCTAAAAAAAATTGAACCATTACAGGGCTGGCAAATCATTTGCCAGCATTGCCCAGGTTTTCCCACAGCCTGTACAGACAAGTGGAAGTTTTCAGGAATTAACTATGTAAATAGCGTAAGGACATGTTAAGTAAGTGAAAGTCAGATTTGCCGGCACTGATCAATATATATCCGAGATATTAAGCTTTATTCTTAAGTTTGAACAAGTGGTGCGCTGTTAATCATTTGATAATTTCAAATTCTAATCAAGTTTTACCTACAATTTGACCCAGTGACCTACTCCTACATGAAAGAAATTATGGTATTATCTAGCAGTGGTTCTCAGGTGAGCTATTTTAGGATCATCGGGGCTCTCTTGTGGCACTAGTACTAATGGCATTTCATGATTTGTTAACATATCCAAGAACTGTCTTTAATAAAGAGGGGAGACAACTCATGTGTCATTTTGGTATGGTAATCAACATGAATATCTCTCTCAAGTAACAAATCAGTCATCCTTAGTGATACCTTGTTGATTTAGTATGGTTCATGCCTTTCTCTGCTTAAACCATTTTTTACTTAAAAAGTCTTCACAAAGAAATTACTTGTTACAATAAAAGCAAAATAATAAAGAGTGCAAAAAGAACATAATTTACTTTATTAATCACTTTTTATTTCTATAAAAGTGACCTGAATTGTGACTGACTTTCTTTGTTAATATGATACCAATAAGACACAACCTACCACATGGCATTTTCTTTCAATAGGAAATTATAAATGCAAGCTAGTAAATCAAAAACCTTATCATATCCGTGTGTGCTACTGTATAATAGAAATAAGTATCTTTATACCCCCTTTAATTTCTCTTCAAACTTTTCAGTGGGGTTGGGAGGCGGGGTGGGGGTTGGGGGATTCCAATTCCATCCAGTCCTGATCATTTTTCTTCCGTAGCAATTTAACCTGTGCAGGTATTAATTAAAATATAAAAAATACACTTAAAGAGTCATAAGTAAGTTCAGTATTTCCAAGTGACAAAGTTTGGCCTCTGGCTTTATTTGCTGAACAAAATGTCTAGAATTCTTCTGAAAAAAAAAGAGTAGGTATTAACATGAGACATAAAATATATTTATGAAAGATTACTTTAAAGTTCAGAGGACCAAGTTTTATAACTCCATATTGCATTATTAGAAAATGTCCTCAAATTTACATTTACTTGAAAATCTCTGAAACTAGCTAACGGGTTACAATTTACTGTGAAACTTTAGATATAAATGTATATATAATTTCTGCCTTTCGTAATTGACTATTCCCTTTTTCACTAACTAAAATCGGTCAAATACACTATAAGTGGGAGTTTAATGATTAATATCCAGTCAAAATCTAGTTGAAAGTTATGTTATGGTAAATTTTAAGCATTTATTAGTTTGTATAGATGAAAAAAGGATAGAAAAAAACTTTCTTCTTTGTATTGTTAACCGGATCTCAAATATCAAATAAACATCCATTCAAAGTTTGATTCATTGCTTATCCCTTTGCCTGTACAAACATTGTGTTGGCGAAGTTCGAAATGTTTAGATGAATAGTTTTGGTGTTAAAACTATTTGTTATGAGATATTTTGAAAATTTTTATTGAATTTTGTTGAAAATTAAGGTCTTTTAAGTCAACTAAAAAATTTGTAGGATGATTATCTAAATAGTTAATAACTGACAAGTTTCTCCTATGTAATCATATAAAATTCTCCACTCGGTGTATTCTATTAAACCATACAAAATGTATTAACTTACCGGTATTAATGAAAAACTTGGTTTCAATTCTAAAAAGATGTATTACTAACATTTAATACTTACTAAAATGGTTTTTTTATATAGCACTAAATTTTGTGGACTTGTAACGGGTTTTTTTTTTATAGATAATTTCTGGTTTTGGCAGAAAAAAAGTGCAAATTGTTACACACATATAGTTGCTGATTACCCTGTGTGTATTTTTATGCCAAGCCATTGTATAGCTGTATTATAAACAGGGGTGGCAAAATTAATTGTCCATATTGCCCAGGTTGTCCCACAGCCAGTACAGACATGTGGAAATTATCAAGAATTTACTAAGTATATAAATATTATTGGGACAAGTTTAATTAACAGAGGATATTGAATGAGTGTAAGTTCAATACTAAATTTATTGCATGAGTTGAATAAAATACATTATGAAAAGTGATATTTATACCCCCAAAAACAAAGTTTGGGGGGGTATATAGGAGTCACCCGGTGGTCGGTTGGTCGGTCGGTCGGTCCAGACGTCCGTTGCATTTTCCTTGTCCGGAGCATAACTTGAAAACTAATGGTTGGAATTCAATATAACTACATACAATGGTCAAGCACATTGAGAGGAAGTGCAGTGCACAAGAACCATAACCCTATCTTGACTAATTACAGAGTTATTGCCCTTTGTTACTTTTCCTTGTCCGTGGCATAACTTGAAAACTACTGGTTGGAATTCAAAACAACTTCATACAATTGTCAAACACAATAAGGGGAAGTGCAGTGCACAAGAACCATAACTCTATCTAAAGTAATTACAGAGTTATTGCCCTTTGTTGCTTCTCCATTGCTTTTTTTTTGTCCATTGCATTTTCCTTGTCCGGAGCATAACTTGAAGACTAATGGTTGGAATTCAATATAACTACATACAATGGTCAAGCACATTGAGAGGAAGTGCAGTGCGTAAGAAACATAACTCTATCTTGACTAATTACAGAGTTATTGCCCTTTGTTACTTTTCCTTGTCCGTGGCATAACTTGAAAACTACTGGTTGGAATTCAAAACAACTTCATACAATTGTCAAACACAATAAGGGGAAGTTCAGTGCACAAGAACCATAACTCTATCTAAAGTAATTACAGAGTTATTGCCCTTTGTTGCTTTTCCATTGCTTTTTTTTTTTGTCCGTTGCATTTTCCTTGTCCGGAGCATAACTTGAAGACTAATGGTTGGAATTCAATATAACTACATACAATGGTCAAGCACATTGAGAGGAAGTGCAGTGCATAAGAACCATAACTCTATCTAAAGTAATTACAGAGTTATTGCCCTTTATTACTTTTCCATTGCTTTCTTTTGTCCGGACCATAACTTGAAGACTAATTGTTGCAATTCATTATAACTTCATACAATGGTCCAGCACATTGAGAGGAAGTGCAGTGCACAAGAACCATAACTCCATTTTGACTTATTACAGAGTTACTGCCCTTTGTTTCTTTTCCTTGTCCAGAGCATGACTTTAAAACTACTGGTTGGAATTCAAAACAACTTCATACAATGGCCAAGCACAATAAGGGGAAGTACAGTGCACAAGAACCATAACTCCATCTTGACTAATTACAGAGTTATTGCCCTTTGTTACTTTTCCATTGCTTTCTTTTGTCCAGACCATAAACTTGAAGACTTATTGTTGGAATTCATTATAACTTCATACAATGGTCAAGCACATTGAGAGGAAGTGCAGTGCAATAAGAACCATAACTCCATCTTGACTAATTACAGAGTTACTGCCCTTTGTTACTTTTCCTTGTCCAGAGCATGACTTGAAAACTACTGGTTGGAATTCAAAACAACTTCATACAATGGTCAAGCACAATAAGGGGAAGTGCAGTGCACAAGAACCATAACTCCATCTTGACTAATTACAGAGTTATTGCCCTTTGTTACTTTTCCTTGTCCAGAGCATAACTTGAAAACTACTGTTTGGATTTCAGTACAACTTCATACAGTTGTCAAGGACATTAAAAGGAAGTGCAGTGCACAAGAGCCATAACTCCATTTTGACAAAAATACAGAGTTACTGCCCTTTGATACTTTTCCTTGTCCGGAGCATAACTTAAAACGTACTGGTTTGGAATTCAAAACAACTTCAATACAATGGTCAAGCACAATAAGAGGAAGTGCAGTGCACAAGAACTATAACTCTATCTTCAGTATTTATAGAGTTTATTGCCCTTTGTTCTTTTTCTTTGTCTTTCTGGACTTATTACAGAGTAATTCAATTAAACTTTCATCAATGCCAACCACAATTGAAAGGAAATGCAACATAAACATGAACCACAATTATCTTTAATTGCCCACAACCCATAACTCTAATGTTTCAATTCTATTACAAGGTATTCTGTTACTAATTATTTATTATATTTCTGTTTAAAAATAATTAAATGACTATTAATACTGTATTATCTTTTCAGGACTTTACAACCGGAACATATATATATATTGTAAAATATTACTTTGTAAACCCCTTATGTATTTTATTAATACCTGGGTGAATAAAGATATTTGAATTGAATTGAGTAACATCCTCATTTCCGAAGCAGACTTGTGGGGGTATTAATCACATTTAGTGATAGTTCTAGTTTTTTCCAGAATCTTACTTTATAAATATAATACAAACAAAGAAGTTTTATGCTTTTGGTAAAATGGACAAGTTAAGGCAAAAGTTTGATTTTACTGGCCCTGCCCTCTACATTGATGTTTCGAGCCTTGCCAAGGACTTTGGATTCTTTCATGTTAAGAAGTTATACAGTTAGCATGTGGATGGTTAGTGGTTCTACTCAGATGTATGCTTGTGCCTTAAATAGTGCAGAGTTGGACTTGAGGTTCCCTCCTCATTTAAAGCGAATGAAAGATGCTATATGACCCTGAGCACTGTCAGTGTGACTTATATACCTACCAAAAAATATATATATAAGTAAATAGCAAGATGATAAAAATAGGATAAACAGAGAAAAATAAAGTATTTACAAGGGGAACAGTGATAGTGAAATCTGTATATATCGATCTGGCAGCTGTTGAAAATTTAACAAATTTAGAAAGTAGGCAAGGTATGAAGAAATGATGGTATAAACAAAATTGATTAATATACCTACATTTATTCTGACACATGGCTTATATTACATTAAGTCCTTTAACCTTTTACACGCTAAATATAATTATTAAATGGACTTGTTCATTTTTCAATCTGGACATAACCATTTGTCATCTATAGCGAAAATTTTTCAAAATATATACTGACTTAATTTCAATAGCAAACAGTGCAGACAGAGATCAGTTGACATTCTTGGTCAATGCTGGTCACATGTGTAGAATTTTTAAAAGGTTATATGGCCATATATAAATGGTTGTTTGCAATATATGCAAAGAACCATTTATATATTAGGCCATATAACCTGTGAAAAATATTTATAACAAATAATATAAGAAAAATATGAGGAAGTATAATGTAATAAGCATTGTTTGTAAGGGAACTTTGATTTTGGATTAGTATAAGAATGATTTAGAGGGGTGGGGGACCGTGGTTGAATGGTGAAGGTCATTAACCTTAAACCACATGCCTCTCACCGCTGTAGGTTTGAGGGGACTCAGTGTTTTCAGATTCTTTGATGTGAGAAAGCTGTGTTTCTAACTCAGGTGCCCAGTTGTGCTTAAAATAATGCATAGACAAGCACCCCAGGGGTCTTTCTCAACCAAAACAGTTGAAAAGTTGCCATATGATCCATGGCTGTGTTAGTGCATCTTAAAACAAACAAACAAATATATATATATAAATAGATGCTTGTGAATTGTAGTAGCCCAGATCACATTCAAGCTTTTTATTGCTTTGTGCTACACTGGTACAGCCAAATTCATGCATGCAGAAGATGTAAATACCCTCACACCCTCATTATATAATGCAGCTGTTACTCTATTTGACAAAAAAAATTGAAATCTAAAAATCTTGTATAAAGTTAACAGTTTTTGTATGTTTTCAGAAATTCTACATACTTATTTACAGTGCTTGTAAGTTTTCAAATGTTATATTTAAATGTTCATTTACAGAGCTTGTATGTTTTCAGATGTATAAATGTTTATTAACAGTGTTTATGTTTTTCAAAGTTTTTTTTTATATGTTAAATGTTTATAGTGCTTGTATGTTTTCAGATGTTTAAATGTTCATTTACAGAGCTAATGTATGTTTTCAGATGTTTTAATGTTTATTAACAGTGTTTATATGATTTCAATGTTTCAAATTAAAAATTTATAGTGCTTGTGTGTTTTCAGATGTTTGAAATGTTTTTCTGATGGTTTATATATCACAGTGTTTGTATATGTTCAGATGGTTTAAATAAAAATCTTTTTGTGTTTTTTTTGTTTTTTTTTTCAGATTGTTTATTTACAGTGCTTGTATGTTTTCAAATGGTTTAAAAGCTTATTTACAGTGCTTGTATGTTTTCAAATGGTTTAATGTTTATTTACAGTGCTTGTATGTCACAAATTGCAGATGGTTTGAATGTTCATTAATAGTGCTTGTACGTTTTCAGATGGTTAAAATAAATACCTTTGTGCTTGTATGGTTTCAGATGGTTTAAATGTTTATTAATAGTTCTTTCTCTGCTTTTTTGATGTCATAGATTTTGAATGATTATTTCCAGAGCTTTTATAATTTATGATTGTTTTATGGATTCAGGGGCTCATACGAGAAGACAGACGGACCTGGGAACAAATCTCCAGTGGTAGGAAGAAGGGGCATGTTTTCTATAGTGCCTGAAGGTTCTGGTGGGGGCTCCACTGGTAGTGTGAGTATTTTCTTACTTAATTAACTATCAAACTTTTAAGTACTTTTAATTATCAGACTTATACGGTTTTAGCTATTGTGTGTTGCACATTGTCCGTTGTTATCTTCTGTCTTTTAAATATCATCTAGAGCCTGAACTGCATTATAAAGTAACTTGATGTTTTATCAACTGAAATGAACTTTAGGTGAACATTTAAACACTTTTCGGGTGTCAGATGTGCAATTAGGTCGTACGGAGCTAAAAATGGACTTAAAAATATTTTCTGGAAACAACAATGCCAAGAGGTTAGGTTATTATTGCTAATGGATAAATATTGTCTCCTCAAATGTATCAATAATTTGTTAAAAATTACTGGTGCAATAATATATCTGTATATATGTGATGCAGTGTTGGCAATAAAGCATGTATGTCTGTACAGAACACTTGATGTTTATTTTTCTTTTCTTTTTTTTTCAAAATATGAACTCATGTATTTTGACAATATCAAGTGTTGCAAACTTAGTAAATGTTCAAATTATACAAGTTGAAGATACATTTGTTAATACAGTATTCTTTTTTTTGCAATATTTTATTTTTGCAATACTGGTTGAGTGTAATGAATTTATTTTTTTATTTGTAAAAAAGGTTTTGACCATATTCTTACTATTCATGTTTCTTATTTCGTCTTTTTTGATACATACTGCAGATTTAATAGTATTATATTCATTATGATTCATTATTTTTTATTTATTTATAACTTTATAAATTTACAGGATGACCAGCATTCTGATATGGAAGAAGAATGGGCAGATATTTATTTCAATGATGACAAACAGAAAGCTAATGAGTAAGATTTTATTTCTTGTTGTCACACATATCTATCCAATTGGAACTGAACTAAATACCTATCCAATTGTTTTTATACCTCCAAAATTTATAGATTTACAAGTAAGCTTATGGGATGTTGGTTGTTCTACAAAGATTTCTAGCTTGTGCCTGAAATAAAGCACAGAGGGTCACCTATGGTCTTGAACTCCACCAGTTAAGCTTGAAAGTTGTCATATTACCTTAATAGTGTTGATGTGACTTGACTGAGGTTTTTTGACATGACAGGACTGGAAATATATGAGCCGTGTCGTGGCAAAACCAACATAATGGGTTGGCGACCAGCATGGATCCAGACCAGCCTGCGCATCCGCACAGTCTGATCAGGATCCATGCTGTTCACTATCAGTTTCTCTACTTATAATAGAGTTTGTAAGCGAACAGCATGGATCCTGATCAGACTGGTCTGGATCCATGCTGGTCGCAAACGCACTATGTTAGTTTTGTCGTGATAGGCTCATGTGTTTATGAGATTAATGTTTCATTTGATGTAGGTCTTGTACATGTACTAAAAAGTTGTATGCAAAATTTCAAATCATTCACTTACTCTGTTTTTCTAGAATGATTATTCCAAATGTAGAAAATGACCCAAAATTGAAAAGCATTGCAACCCTTTTCACTCAAATGAGGCTGAGAAAAGCGCAGAAGAACAATATTCAATTGGTTTCTAAGTTTATCTTTTAGTTATCTTTTGCATATCTTTCTGTTTCAATTGTTCCAGCTTAATTTTGTGAGAAACTCAAATATATTATTTTTAGGCTTTAGGACCTCAGTGCCAGGAATTCCTTTAAATCCAGTCAAAACAATAAAATAAATAAAATATATCTCATTATTGTTTCAGGATATTACAAAGTATTGGTGAGAGTGGGGTATATCTAGTACGACCAGAAAACAATGGCTTCGGAATGGTATGTTGTTAAAATTGTCTACTTTATAAAGATTGTTAGACTTTAACTTGGTTATATAGAAGAACTTGTCTGGGCCATGACATTTTTTATGCATTTTCTGAGGTTTCTCATCACCAATATAATTATAAGGATTTGTAAGCTATTTTAGTGTCACAATTCAGAACTGTTAACTATTAAGGGGTGATAGATTGTAAGCAGTCGCATAGCTTAGTCGGTAGAGCCATGGTACGGTATTTCAAGGGTCCCGGGCTCGAGCCCTGGTCAGGCTGCACATTTTTCCCACCCTGTTACATTAGTAAGATTGGTAAACTAAAGTAAAACCAATAGCTTAAATGAATCTTTTTCTCAGTTTTGTAGTCAAAACATAAGTAAGTACATACATTGAAGCACTTTATTTCAGTATTTGTATGCTATAAATATAATACAAGTAAATTTTGTAAGTAGTTTTTAGCTCGACTATTCGATAAGAATAAGTAGAGCTATTGGAGTCGTCCGAACGTCTGCGTAACCACTTATGTTAAAGTTTTTGTAATACCTCAAATATTTTTAAACTCCATTGACATATGGCTTTGAAACTTTGCACACTTGTTCACCATCATGACCCCAACCTGTAAACAGGAGGAGGTAACTGTATCAAGCATTTTGACAGAATTATGCCCCTTTTTCGACTTACAATTTACGTTTAAGTTTTTGTAATACCTCAAATATTTTCAAAGTCCATTGACATATGGCTTTGAAGCTTTGCATGCTTGTTCACCATCATGACCCCAATCTGTAGACAGGAGGATGTAACTGTATCAAGCATTTGGCAGAATAATGCCCCTTTTTTACTAAGAATTTACATTTAAGTTTGCATACCAACTCAGATATTTTCATATTCTATTGACATCTGGCTTTGAAACAAGTTGTAATTTTATACTCTTCTTTGAAAGCATAATAGGACTCTTCAAGGCCTATAACTGTAACATGGATTTAAAGAAAAAAATTGCCCTTTTGTTAACTTAGAAAATATTACATTATCAGGGCTTTTCTTACTATCAAGCACTAAGAAAAATTAGTCAAGCGTTGCTGGCTCCTACGACAGCTCTTGTTTTTTTTTATAGTCTTATGTAGGCAGAGTCACTCAGAAGTTTCATGAATAAAGATGGTGTTAAATATGTATAAATGTACTTAAAATTGAATTTATTTTACATTACAGGTTTTGGTTGTCTATGTAACTGATCATTGCAGGAAATATAGAATCATGGAAGAGGTAAATCAATCATAACTTAACCTGTTAGATGAGCCTTTGCCACCAGTTTAGAGCCAGGCCGGCCTGCAATTACCTGCAGACTGACCACACTCTTTACTAGGGGTGTCACAGTTGTTTTTCTTTTAATATTGTAAACCCTTGAACTTTAAATGGACTGCTCAAAATTCGAAGCAGGGCAAATCCATTACATAAATTCTGTAGGTTAAGACCTAAATCTTCAGTAATTGTTTTGCCATGTTCTGCCCTTGTTAAACAAAGATAAAATCTAGCCATGGATTCTGTAATGTGAGGAAGTTATCCAGCTAGCTCATCATTAAAAAAAAAACATCAGTGGTTTTACTCGGGTACCTGCTCATTAAATAGAATATGGCATGGAGGGGCACCTTAGGTCTTCCTGAACCAGTAAAACTGGAAATGCCCAATATGACCTGTATAGGTGTCATTCACTCACTGTGACTTAATAACTAAGTACAAAATTAACAGGCATTTTTTTCATTGTTCTGATTTATATTTCAGAATGGGGAATATTTCATTCATAGAGAGGACTTTAGAGACAAATCAGTGGAATGTCTTATAAAGCATTACTATCAGAACAGCTTACCAACTATGAGTCTTATGCTGAAAATGCCTTATAAACATCATCGTGTATATAAAAGTATGAATTCGTGATGAGGATAATTCAACATTATACATGTAACGTGTGCTTAAAAACATGAAAGTCCAGCTGACATAGAGGAATTAACAGTATATAATATATACTGTGTGTAAATACATGAGAATCCTGAGATTCATCCATCAACATGACACTCCATGTGTATAAAAACATGATTTCCTAACAGATAATCAACTTTATACTGCCGTGTAAAAAACATAAATATCTCATATTGATTAATCAACATGACACTCCATAAATCCTAATTCTAATAATAACACATAAACAAATAAATTAAGAGAAATTAACTGCGGCCACTCTAATAGGATACTTTTAGCCTTTTAGCGTTCTGCTTAGTCATCTGATAAGATCATATGTTCATCACATTAACCCTAGGTGGTCTAGTGCAGTAGAATCAACTTTATACTGTGTGTAAAAACATAAATATCTCATATTGATAAATCAACATGACACTCCATGTGTGTATAAAAACATGAATTCCTGACTTAAGCTTTGTATGAAAATATGAACACCTGATTGAAAAATCAACATTAAATTAAAAAGTGTATATATAAACATAAATTAAAATCGCCATTATGTACATTAAACTGTAAATAATAGCATAAATTCCTGACATGAATCTACATTTGATTGTAAAAAAAAATGCAAATTTCTGAAATGTACATAATGAATAATCAATATAAAACATCACAAAACATTTTAACCATTTTTTCAAACAGGAAACAGTGATAATATTGGAAATTGTTGGCAGACATTTTAACACTGCCTTCTGTGTGCATCTCCTGCATCTATCTTAATTTACATGTATAGAGGAGAGTACTTTAAGGAATTTCTCCTTTAATTTCAAACTATCTCTTAGAGAACTTTTCAGTATTGTTATCAAGTGCTCTGTTGCTTTTTGTTAGAGTCTGTCATTTGATTATTTTTTTAGCAGTTTTTGTTCACATGCATGTATGTAATATATTAAGTTATACGCTTCAGTCTTCAAAGTAGCATTTTCTACAGATTTTATCCATTTGGCGGTCATTTGCAAATTTATAAGAATTTATGATTGGATATTATTTTCTAGCACAATTAATTACCCCATTGATTTTTATTCACATACTGAAGTGTGCTGAACTTTTTTTACACTGTCATATAATTAGCCCTGAGGCATGTTGATTTAATCATTTTCAGAGAAATAAGTAAAACTGGTTCTGTGACAATTTCCCATCTCTTGTTGATATCATGAATGTCTGATAGTGTTATAACAAAGTTTATTGCATAACTTGAATTCTGTAAGAGTTTTAAACATAATAAGCCGGTATAAAAGGGAACAAATTCCTATTTAAAACTGTTGAATATACATTATCTTGTACATAAACTTGAATGTTTGATATTAATAATTCTTTTGAATAAAATTAGAATTCCTGAGGTGTTCAGATTTTAAATCACTAACCTGGAATTTATGACAGTGTGAAACCATTATTCTATACAGCATATAGTATTGAATGTTTTTTAAAGCAGATTTTCACTTACTTAAAAGTCGAAGTTTGCTGTACAACTGGTTTGTGAAAGTTTAATACCATGTAGGGTTTTTAGCTCACCTGTCACAAAGTGACAGGGTGAGCTTTTGTGATCGCTTTTCATCCGTCCGGTGTCCGTCCGTAAACTTTTACTTTAAATGACATCTCCTCATAAACAACTAAGCAAATTTCATCCAAACTTCCCAGGAATGTTCCTTTGGTGGTCACCTTTAAATTGTTCAAAGAATTTAATTCCATGCAGAACTCTGGTTGCCATGGCAACCGAAAGAAAAAACTTTACATATCTTCTTTTAAAGAAGCCAAAGAGCTAGAGCTAAGATATTTAGCATGAAACATCTTCTAATAAGTGTCTACCAAGTTTGTACAAGTAAAAGCCCTGGGGTCAAAATTGGCCCTGCCCAGGGGGTCATTGATTTTCCTTATATGTGTATAGCAAAAACTTTAAAATCTTCTTTGAAAAAAACCAAATAGCTAAAGTTTAGATATTAACCCATTACTTCATGAGCATTTTGTGAAAAATGGCTGTTTTCATTGAAAAGTCTCCCGTTACAAGTTCAAATTGCTATAATACTATAAAAACTGCTTCAACACTAATCAAACTTGGCACAAATGTTGACTGGACCATTGTCCCTGCAACAACATGCTCAGGCTTAAATTTTCTGTTACCATGGCAACGAGGGGACATCTCAAAATTGCCAAAAATCACTATTTTGCGTTGATTTTTTCCATCAAAATTGATTTCAAAGTGCTGCAACTTCTCAATGGATTGATATAGAGTCAAATGCTTTTCAGCGTTGGTTACACGTTACCTTATGATCAATCTGGGGTCATTTACAGTCTCTCACAAGTCCATAATTTTCTTGGCGATGAGGGGGACTCCACCCCCCTTCAAACGCCCCCAAACAGAAGGGGGCACATCCCCCTTCTGGCAACCCCCTGATGTATCTTTTGGTTGGGGGGCCGCGCCGAAAAAGAGGTCACTTTTTTTAACAACATTTCTCAACAAAAACAAGTGTTTGGGGCCTAAATAAGGCATTTTTTCATCATTTGAGACAACAAAAAAGGGGGGGGGGTGAAAAAGGCGTTAAAAGGCGTGTATATGAAGTAATGGGTTAAGCATGAAACATCTTTAAGTAAATATCTACAAAGTTTGTTCAAATAAAAGCCCAGGGGTCAAAACTGGCCCTGCCCGAGGGGTGTCATTGTTTTTAACTATATGTGTATAGTAAAAACTTAAAAGATCGTTAAGCATGAAACATCTTCTTATGGGTATTTACCAAGTTTGTTCAAATAAAAGCCCTTGGGTTAAAATTGGCCCTGCCGGTGGGGGGCGGGGAGGGGGGCAGGTCATTGTTTTTCATTATATGTGAAGTAAAACCATAACATCATGAAACATCTTCTAATGGGTGTCTTCCAAGTTTGTTCAAATAAAAGCGCTGGGGTTTAAACTTGCCCTGCTCCGGGGGCCCTATATACAAATGAGCGACCTCAGGGCCATCATGACCCTCTTGTTAACTTTTCATTCTATTTTCATGTGCAATATTAATCAATTTAATGTGTGTTATTTAATAGCAGAGATATTCCATCTTAAAACTGCTTCAAGAATGCACCATTTTATGATAATTAAAACATCATAATTTTACTGTTTAAAGATTTTATGAAAATATTTCATAAGATTTAGCTTTATTCCTGTTTGTTTTATTTAATGTACAGAACAACATAATGTGGTGTAAGCCTAATGCACTTACCATCTGTCACGCAGAGATGTCATTATTATTGTATATTCCTAGAAGTCGGTGTTTATTCTTATATTTCTACATAAAAATTGTTTTCAGTCGTTTACCGAGTATAGTAAATAGCCCCCATAAAACATTTTTTAATAAATCAAAAAGACTAGATTTTGCATAAATCAAAAAGACTAGCAAATTAATGTTGAATTGATTTAATTTCAACAATCGTTTATTCAAATGAATCTTTGTGAGCATTTACTTAACTGAACTTTTATCAAATACATTCACACAGCTCTTATTGTAGTAAAGTTTACTTCACTTCTTTAAAGAGGAAAAAAACTTACTTTCAAGGGCAGATAACTCAAAAAAAAGATGGTGACCCCTAATTTTTTGTATCAAGTTCTTTCTATTATGATTCTCTTTTAGTTTTCAAAGTTAAAAAAAAAATTCCTTCTTTACCTTTGTAAAAATAAATTGCATATCAGGCTTTCTGCAACAAGTAAAAGGAACAAAAGTGCTTGAAGGAATGTTTGGATAGTTTTATTAAGCTCTTGAGATCCAAATCCCATTATTACAAATTGACAAATTTATAACACAAAAGATGTTCTTTTTTGTGAAAATTTATTTTTTCTTCCCTCTATCGCCATACCGAACAAAGCTCAGAATGTACAGGGATTATTATACCCCCGCACAACAAAGTTGTAAGGGGGGTATACTGGAATCAGCTTGTCCGTCCGTCCGTCCGGCAGTCTGTCCGTCGGTTTTTTCTTGTCAGCCCAATAACTTAAGATTCCTTCGACCCTTAGTCTTCATATTTGGCATGGAGGTTAGTCATGATTAGTAGATGACCCCTATTGATTTTGAGGTCAAAGGTCAAGGTCACAGGGGCCTTGACTTCAAAAAGCTTGTCTGCCCAATAACTTAAGATTCCTTTGACCCACAGCCTTCATATTTGGCATGAAGGTTAGTCATGATTAGTAGATGACCCCTATTGATTTTGAGGTCATTAGGTCAAGGTCACAGGGGCTTTGACTTCAAAAAGCTTGTCCGCCAAATAACTTAAGATTCCTTTGACCCTTAGTCTTCATATTTGGCATGGAGGTTAGTCATGATTAGTAGATGACCCCTATTGATTTTGAGGTCACTAGGTCAAAGTCACAGGGGCCTTAACTTCAAAAAACTTGTCCGCCCAATAACTTAAGATTCCTTTGACCTACAGTCTTCATATTTGGCATGGAGGTAAGTCATGATTATTAGATGACCCCTATTGATTTTGAGGTCACCAGGTCAAAGGTCAAGGTCACAGGGGCCTTGACTTCAAAAAGCTTGTCCGCCCAATAACTTAACATTCCTTTGACCCATAGTCTTCATATTTGGCATTGAGTTAGTCATGATTAGTAGATGACCCCTATTGATTTTGAGGTCACCATGTCAAAGGTCAAGGTCACAGGGGTCTTGACTTCAAAAAGCTTGTCCGCCCAATAACTTAAGATTCCTTTGACACACAGTCTTCATATTTGGCATGGAGGTTAGTCATGATTAGTAGATGACCCCTATTGATTTTGAGGTCACCAGGTTAAAGGTCAAGGTCACAGGGGCCTTGACTTTAAAAAGCTTGTCCGCCAAATAACTTGAGATTCCTTTGACCCACAGTCTTCATATTTGGAATGGAGGTTAGTCATGATTAGTAGATGACCCCTATTGATTTTAGGTCACCATGTCAAAGGTCAAGGTCACAGGGACTTTGACTTCAAAAAGTCTGCTGCCCAATAACTAGATTCCTTTGACCCACAGTCTTCATATTTGGCATGGATGTTGGTCATGACTATAAGGTGACCCCTATTGATTTTGAGGTCACTGGGTCAAAGGTCAAGGTCACAGGGACCTTGACAAAAAAAGCTTTTCTTCTCAATTGCTAAAGTATGTCCTGTCCGCAATGTATTGATTTTGACATTTTCACATTTGAAGCATGTAGAATACATAATTTAGCAATGCACTGGCTTAGTAACCTCAGATTTGGCAGGGAGGTTGTCCTTGAGCTCTAAATGGCCACTGTTGATTCTGACAAAGTGTTATGCGGGGGTATTCACGCCATGATAGTGGCAGTTCTAGTTAATGCAAATTTGAATAATACAAGAAATATTCTTACATTGTGCCCAATATCTGTACAGAATATAAAACTTCATACCTCGTATTAAGAATGTTTAGAGTTCACATTCCATCTATAGCCTTGCATTTATTATAAAAAAATATGATTGGACTAAATTGACTACACTTCTGTTACCATATCACTTCTACAATGTATCTAAATGAGCCTACATTTATAAACTTTCACAGTATTTCCAGGCATTATGTGCCCAAAGTCGGCTTAAATTGCTACCAACTTGCCTATTACTAATAGGCAATCTGAAGAACAGCTATTTTCCCTGGCTCATTTCAATTTCTAACCTTTGAGCAACCTTTAAGAATGACCATGACCTTGGGTTTAAAAGACTCATTTTTCTAACACATAGGTGAATGTTGAAATATTAGAAACATCTTCAATACCTCAAATTTAGCAATTCTATAATTTTTATAAAGAAAAAGAGCAATTTTGACAGCCTTTTAAAGAGTATTGCCATGTAAAAATATTACTTTAGAGGGATGCTGCTTTAAGAATGTTCATATAGATAATTTAAAGTGATAAGGAAATTATTCCAACTGGTGTAAAAAGTACAAATAACATAATGAGATGATTATTTTAATTGACAGACATGAAAAAATGGTGATATACAACCACTTAAACAAGTACAGCGATATTGTATCAACATACATGTAATACCATGTACAAAATATTTTAATATAAAATGATTTAGGGTATTTGCCAACCCCAGACAAT